CCCCCTAAACACTTCTATCCATCGCAAGACCAATCCGCAATAAGTACCTCGGTATCCCTTCTCAACAGAGAGACGACGGATTACGTGCGAAGGAAGGATTCAGCGAATCCCGACCTTTCGGATCCCCATTCGGTGCTTGTCTGTTCCCTTATCAAGGACAAGACGAGCACCAACCACGGCGATATGCAGTACTGTACTTGTAGGTACCGTTCGTCGCCCAGCGAAAACCTAGCGTGCACATTCCGAGTCCCGACCCGGTTGCGTCTTGCGTAATTTCGGCACGCGCCGGCACACGCCGAGGTCATTTCCAATGCGACGTGCAACAAAAGGTGGTTTGTTGTTTTTGGTGGGTGGGCGGGGGTTTGGTTTTGATTTTGATTTTGATTTGATTTGCTGATTTGGGTTGGGTTGGGTTGGGTTGGGTTGGTATGGGTTGGTATGGGTGGCGGGTTGACTTGCTTACTTGTCGCGCGGGCTGGTTATCTACGGAGCGTAGCTAGGTAGGTAGGTAAGGTAGGTATCTTGCAGAGAGAAAGGTGGATGGAGGTGGTTTGGTGGTGTGGGGTTGGACTAGGTAGTGTTTGCTTGAGAAGAATTGGTTTGTTTATGGCTATTGTGTGGGTGGGTGTTCTCTGTTTGGTAAGTACGTATGTATGAATGTATGTATGTATTTCGGTTTCTCTAGAGATGGAAGTTGGATGGTTCGTGTGTGTTGCTAGTATTGGTATTAAGTCGATGATGATTGATTTCGGCGGAGACTCTTTCGGAGACTCTCTCTATGTACGAGCACCCAAACTATATATACTCCTCTCTCTCTCTCTCTCTCTCTCTCAAGTGCTCGACGCCCTGGGTTAGCAGTTGCTGTTTACGTGATCACAGCAGCACACATCGAGTCGATCGAAAGCAAAAAGTTCAATCCATTACATCTCCATCCATACCACCCTCGTGAGCCCTCGGCTATATGTGGTAAGCCTACGTAGCACCCTTATTAGATCTTGCTAGCGCTAGCAAGAGGCTCGAAGCTTGAGAGGAGGAGTGTAGCAGCTCGTTCCGCTGCTGCGACCCGGCTAAGTGGCCAGTCAGCAAGCACGTGGGTGGCTCTGAACACGTGCAATTCTGTACTTCTGTTGCATGTCGTCGAGGTGGCAAGCAACTAACTGGCTACGGAGTAGGTGCAGTAGTAAAGTAATAGTCAGGTAGATGAGTGCGTAGTAGCGGGAAGCCAGGCCTCTCAGTTGGAATTGTTGGTTGCATATCGCAGGTGGCATGTGTTGGAACTTGGAAGGGGCGATTTAGCAGTAGTAGCAGTAGTAGTAGTATTAGTGGTGGTAGTAGTGGTAGTAGGTATCCGGTAGTACTGTAGTATTCATCTAACGTCCGCGGGCCGCTCAAAAGCGGGTCCTGCAACCTCCCAAGAGCCTCCCGTAGCGCAGAGGGGGGGAAAGTATAGTTTAGTACCTACTTATCCGTCGGCCATCGACCGATTGAACGTTTTGGTAAGCCCTTCTGGCAAAGGAGCGACGTACAATAGCGCCTTATCCGGCGCGATGCAGACTGGCTCAGGTAGGAGGTGGGTGTATTTACGGACACTCATACACTAGACCACTGCTATCAGCCGAAGCGAGAACCCGTTTTGCCCCTCTGACACTTTACGCTATTGATTTATCCAACTCGTCGGATTAACAAGGTGATTCTTCTATCTCCAAAAGAGGCTAGAGAGGAGAAGATTGCTATGGTTTTTAGATGCAGATACCATTTACGAGCTTAACGCCCGGATCGGAAGTGTGTATTATTTTGTTTTCAAATCGCTTAATTTACTAGCGATGTCCGGAACCCGCCATGTGCTACGATGTGCATCATGAATCAAATGGAAGCCTCTTTTTTTTTCTTCTTTTTTTTTCGGCTCGAACCAAATCAAAGCAATTGGGATTCATATTATAATGAGCCTTTTCATTTGAAGGCGGTTGAGATGCAGGCTCCTGAAATAAGTTTGTTTTGGTGATAGGAGAAAGGTTCGGCTGATAGCGTACTTAGCTGAGCTTCTTCCCCCACCTTCCCCCTCTCCTTCTCAATCAATCAACATCTTTGGTCGGGCATGCAAGCAGAGCATCGGGGAGATCGAAAGGTGCGGTCGGCGGCGTTGGCCCGTTTAGGTCCAAGAGAGACAGAGAGATGCCAAACATCAGACCACCTTTTGTGACGAATCTATCAATCATACTATTCCCACTCCCGTTTCAATGCTACCCCTCCAGATTCACTCATCAGGTACAACAGCGTTTTCCCTCTTCCTCTTCTTCAATTCCTCGAGCGGGTCACTTTCGACTCGACCACGACTGAATTCATAGATCTCTCCTTTCATTCTGTGTTGGATCAACTTCTTCCCAACCACAATCAAACGCTACAAACGGTTATCAGACCGTGCTCCTCCAACCCAACCACAACCACCTCGCAAACAACCAACGGAACCCGCCAACGATGGCATCAGCAGCAGCCGATGTCTCCGTCAAGAGCATCTCTCCGTACGGAGTTGCACGCGCCACGGTAGAGGGCAAGCCTCTCTCACCCGAGGAACTCCGCAAGTACGACGCCTACTTCCGCGCCAGCATGTACCTCTGTCTGGGCATGCTATACCTCAAGGAGAACGCTCTTCTCAAGGAGCCACTCGAAGTCAAGCATCTCAAGGCTCGACTGTTGGGCCACTGGGGATCTGACGCCGGTCAATCCTTCACCTGGATGCACATGAACCGCCTGATCAAGAAGTACGACTTAGACTGCCTGTTCGTCTCGGGCCCGGGTCATGGAGCTCCCGGCATCATCTCGCAGTCATACATGGAGGGTGTGTACTCGGAGGTTTACCCAGACAAGGCAGAGGACGAAGAGGGCATGCGCAAATTCTTCAAGCAGTTCTCCTTCCCCGGTGGGATTGGTTCCCATGCCACCCCAGAGACCCCAGGTATGGCAAGAAGTCGAAACCTATCACGTTGGTGAGAAAAGTAGCTAACGAGACGGCGGGGGAAAAGGAAGCATTCATGAAGGCGGCGAACTTGGCTACTCCATTTCTCACGCCTTCGGCACAGTCTTCGATCACCCCAACCTCATCACCGTCACCATGGTCGGCGATGGGGAGGCTGAGACCGGACCGCTTGCGACCAGTTGGCACAGCACCAAATTCCTCAACCCCATTACCGATGGTGCTGTCCTCCCAGTACTACATCTCAATGGCTACAAGATCAATAACCCAACCATCCTCGCGAGAATCAGTCACGAGGAGTTGACCGCTCTATTCATTGGTTACGGGTGGACCCCGTACTTCGTGGAGGGTAGCGATATGGAGAGCATGCACCAGGCCATGGCGGCTACAGTCGAGAAGGCCGTTCTGCAGATCCGCGCCTACCAAAAGCAAGCTCGTGACTCCGAACAGGCCTTCAGACCACGCTGGCCCATGATCGTTCTCAGAAGTCCCAAGGGGTGGAGCGCACCGCGAAAGATCGACGATAAGCTGCTCGAGGGCTTCTGGCGCTCGCATCAGATCCCCATCGTTGATGTTGCCACCAACCCCGCCCACCTGAAGCTGCTGGAGACGTGGATGAAATCATACAAGCCCGAAGAGACCTTCGACAGCGCTGGGAAGCTGATCCCGGAGCTGAAAGAGCTCGCACCTCTGGGCAATGCACGAATGAGCGCCAATCCCGTGGGGAACGGCGGTGTCCTCCGAAAGCCTCTCGACATGCCCAACTTCAAGGCATACGCTCTGGAGAACATCGAGCCCGGTATCTCCAGCCTCCCCAGCATGTCCAACATGTCCAAGTTCCTCCGCGACGTCGTTGCCAAGAACATGACCAACTTCCGCGTCTTCGGTCCCGACGAGACGGAATCCAACAAGCTGGGCGAGATCTACAAGGCAGGCAAGAAGGTCTGGATGGGCGAGTACTTCGAGGAGGACAAGGACGGCGGAAACCTGGCCATGCAAGGTCGGGTGATGGAAATGTTAAGCGAGCACACCTGCGAAGGCTGGTTGGAAGGATATATCCTCTCCGGCCGACACGGTCTCCTCAATAGCTACGAACCCTTCATCCACATCATCGACTCCATGGTCAACCAGCACTGCAAGTGGATTGAGAAGTGCAACGAGGTTGAGTGGCGCGTCAAGGTCGCTTCGCTCAACATCCTCCTCACCGCCACCGTCTGGAGACAAGACCACAACGGCTTCACCCACCAGGATCCCGGCTTCCTCGACGTCGTCGCCAACAAGAGCCCCGAGGTCGTCCGCATCTACCTGCCCCCCGATGGGAACAGCCTCCTCTCGGTCACGGACCACTGCTTGCGCAGCAGCAGCTACGTCAACGTCATCGTCGCCGACAAGCAGGACCACCTCCAGTTCCTCAACATGGAGGACGCCGTCGAGCACTGCACCAAAGGTCTCGGCATCTGGGACTGGGCCTCCAACGACCAAGGCGCCGATCCGGACGTCGTCATGGCATCTTGCGGCGACGTGCCCACCCTCGAGAGCCTCGCCGCGATCGCTCTCCTCCGCGAGTTCCTGCCCGGGCTCAAGATCCGCTTCGTCAACGTGGTCGACCTCTTCAAGCTCATCTCGGCGGTCGACCACCCGCACGGCCTGTCGGACGTCGAGTGGAAGTCCCTCTTCACCGACGACCGACCCGTCATCTTCAACTTCCACTCCTACCCCTGGCTCATCCACCGCCTAACCTACAAGCGGCCCGGCCAGCTCAACATCCACGTGCGCGGCTACAAGGAGAAGGGCAACATCGACACCCCGCTCGAGCTGGCGATCCGGAATCAGACCGATCGCTACAGTCTGGCCATCGACGCCATCGACCGCATCCCGACGCTGCACAATAAGGGCGCCGCGGTCCGCGAGAAGCTGCTGCACCTTCAGATTGCGGCCAAGACGGCCGCCTACGAGAACGGCATCGACCCGGCCTACATCACGGGCTGGAGATGGCCGTATCCCAGAGCCTAGATGGATGGCGACGCGCGGGGCGTGGGAATGACAGGATAGGATAAGATAAGACAGAACGGCATCGGGGGTTTTTTTTCTCGCTGGGGTTAGAGGTTTTCTCGGTGCCACGGCGGTGGCTATTACCATCGTTCAGATTATGATGGATACCGCTGGTGCCTGGCGTTCTTCTTCTCACACCTCCTCCATAGCTTTGATCATAAATCAAGAATCGAGAGCCCCCTTTCACACACAGCCTTGGAATTCCTCTCTCTTCTGACCTCGACATTACCCAGCTGCACTTATAATCGGTTGAGAGAAGCATCAAGAAATATATATATAAAAAAATCTCCCAATCCAACCAAGTAATAGTCAGTGCGCTCGCTGCTCGTTAACTTAACCTGCGGGCTCCCGGTCACTGTAAATAGGTAGGAATGTAAATGGGTAAGTACGCTCGGCTCCGTATATCAATATCATCATCCATCAATAGCAAATTCTTGACGCACCTTATCACCCAGCCAACCTGACTTTGAAAACAACCCTACTTACAGCCAGAGATGTCTCGCAGGTCTTGGCTGGGTGAAGGCTATCAAAGGAGAGCAGAACACACACAGAACAGACACTGGCCGGTTATTGACATTGGAGGCTTTCAGATTTCCCTTCTGCCATTGTCTTGTTGTCGGTACTCTCTTGAAAAATCGAGGTACGGGGGACCATGCCCTCCTCGTCTAAGGGTCGAATCGGAGAACCGGAGGCGGGCCGGGCCAGACGTCCCCCACAACATGGGTCGGTCATCGGACCCATGTTCTCCCGGTTACTCAATTTAGCATTTGATGTCTAGAATGAATGGGAAGACGTGAAATCAGACGTAGTAAGTAGTCAGTCAGTAAGAGAAGTTTGGGTGGGCAGAGGCAAGAAATGAAGAAGCCTGGTGAGCGAAGCATTTATGCACGCATAGTGAAAACAAATCAGCCATGCGCATAGCGTATACAAAGACCAATACAGAAAGCAGACACGTGACGCGCGAGCGAGAAACGGGAATCTGCAGCGGCTAACTCGACCATCGCATCCGAGGTGCAGGCTCAAAGTCGAATCAATGTCTCAGTGTCCGACCAAAGAGACTGCCTATCAGTCAGCGTGTATGGATACTGTACCGAATGCGTCGACTTGCATCGCATCCCCCAACAGGCGAGTAAGAATAGATATCGCTTGCCTGATACGGAGTACGTCTAACTTAGATTCAACGACAGGAAGACGTTGCTCGCCCGGCTGTTGCTAGCGTTCGCGCTTTCTCTGTCGTTGCTTCGTATATTCATCTTCATCATTCCTTGTGTATGCCAGCCGTTTACATCATGTCTCGTTCTTTGCTCCTTGTACCAATCCTCGATCATCCATGCCATTGTGATGGCGACCCGTTGTTATGCTTCCGTCACTCTAGGCGGTGCCGTGCACGCACAAAAGCCGTCGATATCGTGAGAGCTCTAGCCTCCGTGTAGCGCTTTGAACCCGGCTGATATGAGGCTTCGAGATCCAGGAGCCGCATCTCCCGTGCCGGTCCAGTAAAATAAGCCCTGTGCATGCCGGTCAGCCCTGCTTCGAAATCGAGAAAGCTAGCTCACTCCAAGTCCCTTTTCCAGTGCGTAATTCGCTTTCATCTTCACCGTGTCAGGATTGTCGTAGGAAACAAAGCCTCCATCGCCACCCGTGCAGAACGCAGCCACAACTCGCGTATTCACTATTTCTTCGGAGTTGTTTCTTGGAAGCTTTTTATAGTCAAAGGTTGCTTCCTCGCCACCACATCCACTGTACGGTTGACCAGGACCGTGGGCTCCGATGAACGATCTCCCGTATACCGGGACACCAAGTAAAATCTTCCTGGCGGGGAAGCCAGTGGAGATCACGTAATCGACCGCTGCAGATCCTGATGGCTCACCAGCATTTCCTGGAAAGAGCTGGGCATGATGTCCAGCAGTTGGGGACCACGAGCCTGCAAAATCGTATGCCATCAAATTGACCAAGTCGAGGTAGTGCTGTGCTTTGCAAAGGTCGATATTCTGCAGCGCCCACGCTCCAGCTGGCAGCGCTGCTGTGAGGAGGTAGCGTTCGCTTGGGAGATGCAAACGGATAGCAGCGAGTAGTGCGAGAAAGTCAGCACCTTGCTGAGGATCGGAGGGATGTTCCCAATCGACTTGGGCGGATTGTTAGCAGAGCGTGAGGAAGTGATGGGCCAAGACTCACTGTCGATCCCATCAAAACCGCATGCTTCTATGAGACCTTTGGCAGATTTTCCAAAATTGTCTCTTGTTGCGGCACTGGATGCCACCGTCGGAAAGTGTTGGCTTGCCGCTCCACCACCGATTGACAGTATCAGTTTGAGATAGCCATGTTGGGCTTTCAACCTCACGAAAGATCCCAGGCACCCAGTCGCTCCATCGACGGGCATCTGAGCATCGGCCCACTCATCACTCAGCTGTCCACAATGTGAGCTTGGGAAGATACATGCCCAGGAGGAGGATTTCCTACAAACACGCCACCATCGCGAGCGACGTGGGCGAAGGCATAGAAGACATGGCTGATGCAGTGGTAGTTCAAGGTATCGGGTGTCTCGCCACGATAGACGCGGTAGTTAGGGTAGTATACGGCATTCTTACGAGTGAGGTTCGCAAGACTGGCATCTAGTGAGGGCCGAGATGGCCTTCGGTTTGCACTGGCATGCGATCTCGCGCCATAGGGAATTGGTGGAGGACTTGGTCCGAAGAAGTTGGCCATCGTTGAATGGAAAGTGGGAGGAAAGAGAGGCTTCTTGGCTTGACGAGATGAGAAGTAGGCTATATCCCGCCCTGTCCCAATTTCTGTCTGCTACATAGAGCGGGGAGTCGAACCGAGGGGAGAGGAAAAGTGACAGAATTGGTGTTGGCATGATATATTTAGATGAGGTATGGTTTTGGTGTGTGTTTGTGTGTTTTGTGTGCATTAAATTAGGGTTGGAATCGAGGAGAGAAAGGACCGAAAGCCTTTTCTGCACGAGGCAGGATTGTAGGTTGGGCACGCAAAGGAAGGAGAAAGTAGGTTGATAATTGGTTGTTGTATATTGCATGTTGCATGTTGATCGTTGATCGTTGATCGTTGATCGTTGGGTGTTGGGTGTTGGGTGTTCAAGACCGAGGACACGGGCGTGGGTGGGCGCGGGGGTCCAGCTGCACGATCAATGCCGAGTCGACACGATTCCCAGTATCCATCCAGCTGGGTTCTCCGAGCGGAGTGATTGTGTGTGTGTGTGTGGATATGTACCGGTACTACTACTACGTACCTATAGCAGCAACTGTTGTTGGTGTTACTACTTACGTATATTATTAAACTATATTAATATAACCGTGATATTACTGTATATGTTGTTATATTATGGACATGGACATGGACATGGACATGGCAAGGGATCCAACTTACAGTACCTAGTCTACCTTACTGTACCGGTACCTGTCAGGCCGTCAGTGACTAAGGGGTCATTGGTTACCTTGTAAAGTCAATCGCTGTCGCCGCTACGACCGCTGCCTGGCCCGAGGTGCGAAACATGGTCATAAACCGCTGGGCCGAGCTGCGGTACCGGTACCTATCACAAAGGTACATATACGTATACGCAAGGTATATATACTCTGTATACAGAATACATACATATGTAGATGCATGTACTACGTACTTCGTATATGGATATACGTAGTGCTCCGTACATTATACACCACACATGTTGTACACATGTACGTAGGCATAGCATGCACGACTATAGCTCTACCAGCGTCCAAGCTATCAATCATGAGAGGAACCGTCATCCCAGACATTAGTCAAGACGGTAAATTCCCATCTACATATATGCACATATATGTACAGGTATCGTGACTGTACGAATAGCAAGTCGTCAGCGATATACCGGTGTGCACGCGAGAGGGCACCCGAGGCCGTTCCTGTGGGTCCTATCGGTAGGGTCAAGAAGAACGCATGCATCTCTACTCCGTACTTATGTAACCCGCTCGCCACCTGACGACGTGGTGCAGGCGACAGCCATGATCTTCGTTCGAGGCCCGTTTATATGATACGGTGTAGAATGAAGAATGAACTTATCGGTACCAGGAGATTAATATCGAACATCTTCTCCACGAAGGTAGAGACATCTGTGAACTAGGGAGAAGAAGATGAAACATATAAATATCGCCACTGAAGATGGGTCGTGCGGAGCTACAGCCTTGCCAAGAGGCTGAAGCGAGCAACCCCAGCCATTTCTCGCCAACGTCAACAACACCGGCAACTCGTCAATCCACCGTCCATTCAGCCCCCAAACATCCTACAGTACTACCGGTACAGCGACATCCAGAACCCGAGAAATACAAGGACCCTGGATTCTGTGCCACGTCCGCATATCCACCGCCACACATCTTGGCCGATCTTAATCACCGAGCACATTCTGCAGATTCTGCACACATCCTGCAGAGAACAGACGAACACACGAACACACGAACACACGAACACACGAACACACGAACACACGAACACACGAACACACGAACAGACTTGCGCCATCTGACCCTTCCAACCCAACACAGCTCCTTCTGACTGACCGACCGTAACAGAGGCTTGATTACTAAGGCACTGACTGCCCCGGAATATCTCTCGCACCTCATCACTAGGTACACCAATACATACTTTGCTATCAGCAACAACATGGCAGCCGTCCTATCTCTCGGCCCTGGGCCCAAGGACCTCGCCCGACAGATTCTAGAGCACCAGGCTCCCACATACAACTTCTCCTTCTCGAAGTTCCTCCTGGAGAACTACCGCCATGGCATCACGCCCAACCGGCCCATGTGCAAGGCCTACCTCCAAGGGCACTGCCCCTTGGGACCCAAATGCCCCGACCGACACACGGCCGCAAACAACCCGTCGAATTACAATAACCTGGTCTGCAAGCATTGGCTGCGGGGCTTGTGCAAGAAGGGCGAGAGCTGCGAGTTCCTGCATGAGTACAACCTGCGGAAAATGCCCGAGTGCAATTTCTTTGCCAAGAATGGGTACTGTTCTAATGGAGGTATGCTTCTCGTTCCATGTGGAGGGAGTCCCTTCTAATACTGACTGATGCTTTACAGATGAGTGTCTATATCTCCATCTCGATCCCTCCTCGAAGCTCCCTCCGTGTCCCCATTACGAGAAAGGATTCTGCCCTCTGGGACCAGTCTGCTCGCAACGCCACGTCCGCAAGATCCTTTGTGTATTCTACCTGGCGGGCTTCTGTCCCGACGGCAAGACGTGCAAAAACGCTCATCCCCGCTGGCCAACTGACCTACCCAAGCCGACTGTCAAGGTCGAGAAAGACCCCGAAGAGATTGCCGAGGAACAGCGCCTGTTGATGGAGCGAGCCGAGAGGGAACAAGCAGCCGAGCGTGAACGCTACGCCGGAGAAGAAGGCGGGGGAGGCAGAGGCCGAGGAAGATGGCACCATGGCGGGGGAGGACCGAACTGGGGAGGTGGGCGCGGTCGGGGAGGTCATCAGAACAGAAGGGGGCGAGGCTACAACGGCTAGCCCCCCTTTCCTTCCGCATCCGGACCGACGCCCGAGGAAGTTAAGTCAGCCGTTGCGCGTACGAATACACCGAATTCTCACTTCCCAAGATCGGAGTGCGTAACGGGCTTTTTTGGAACAAGAGATGCACCAACGAGGAACGATCTCGGCGGGTCGGTTGCACAACATACGGTACAACGACCTTCTACCTGATTGTCCACCCCTATCCTACAGCGGCGCAAATGCCCGATTGCAGTCCAGAGGGTCCCGCATGCCCTGCAGATACAAGGCTGAGCCATATAGTATAGACCGCGCCCTGCGTCCGGACCTTCGAGAACAGCTCATCGCAATGCGCCGCTCCAGGGTGGTACATCGGCACGATAGATCCCGCAAGGTTCTGTGGTAGCGGTAATAAGTCCTACCCTTTTCGTTCGATTCAGAGAGTTGCAGGTAGTCAAAAGATGAGCTAGATATGAAGGATGTAGGAAATGAATTAGGATCCCATTTTCTCTTTCAAAATTCTGTGCATACTGACTGTGCTATGTTTACGCGAGATATGGTAACTTGTGAATGGAGATGATCTCCAGAGCTGAATTCCTGCCTTGTCCCATCAGTTGTACTCCCGCTGACTACTAGCCTGCCCTGTTGCCCATAACTACCCTTATCTCGAACAGAGGTCTTCCAAATCGAAACGCCATCCCATATCCGCAACAACATCATCCCAAAATTCGCGTATCGTAGCAGCCACCGTATATGTTTACACCGCTTACAACGTCACAAACGCCTAAACTAAAATCCATGCCCCTTCCCCGATTCCTCATCGTCCTGCTCCCCATACACAGAAATATATCCACCATCCTCATCGTGCGTAAACCCCTTGGGATGCTTAGCACCACATCCGCACCCCTTCTTCCCCTCGTCCCCCGTCGCAAAACCCTTGACATTCCCATCCTCGTCTTCAGCCCGATCCATAATCAGCCCCTGCGGCTGCTGTCCGCGTCCAAACTCCGTTCTACTCCCCTTCGCGTCTACCCTCCTAACGCCCATCATCCAGCCGACCAAGCCACGCGGCACCCAGGCACCCACGAATCCATACAGCGAGCTCCCCACGCCGACTCGGACCACGCCCCCCTTCCCATAAATCATGGCGTCGAACACGGCGTTGTTGAGTTCGCGCAGGGAACTCCCTTTGCCGACTCTGGAGAGCGAGGAGGCGGAGGGGGAGGAAGAGCCGGACGTGGAGGCAACGTAGTTCTTTGCATAGGCGAGACGGGTGCTGTGCTCCCACTGGAGCGTCTCTGCGCGCTGCGCGGAGGACGTGGCGGCATGGGTGCGGGAGTGTGGTGCGAAGGCGGAGAGGTCGAAGGTTCCGAGTTGAAGGTGCGTTACTGGGATCTTTAAGGGCGAGAGCTCGGCGCTTAGGACGGATGATAATGATGTGAGGGCTGAATTGATCAGGGATTCAGGGGCGTGGAAGGCGGGACTCAGGGAGGAGATTATAGAGGGAGTGAGGACCAGCACTGAGGGCTTGACTGGGGGCCCGGAGTTGGGGTTGGAGTGTGGGTGGGAGAGAGGGAGGATTTGGAGGAGCGGGAGAAAGGATTGGAGGGTCAGGATCGGTGTCAAGAGACGGGTGTTAAGGAGGTCGGAGACGGTTGTTGGGGAGAGAGCGGCGATAGGGGAGGAGGGGTAGGTTGTTGATGGAATTAAGAGGAGGGAGCGGAAGGTTAAGTGGTGGGATTTAGCGCCTTGGAAAGGAGAGTGTGGTGATCGAAGGTGTGCTTCGAAGCGGTCGATCGAAGCGCGGGCGCTCGAGGGCTTTCAAGGGGTTAGGTTAGCATTTGTTTACTTTCGAGAAGTGGAGCGGAAAGGTAGGCGACGAGACAACTTACATCCAAAATATCAACCATCAGAGGCTTGATGTCTGGACGGGACTCGTTTTGTACCAGCACCTCCTCCTCGATGGTGTTGCATACAATGTACACAACAAACCCTCTTCGTTCTAGATCCTGCGCAATAGATCTGGTGATGGGCTCACTTGGTGATCCAGCTACCACCACAACCTCGAGTCTGGCGCCATTGCTTGCGCGCTTCGCCCTGCGCTTCTTGCTCTTCGAATTCCGCCTTATTACGTGGTATATTGCACCGCCAACGGTAATGACGATAACTGCAGTGAGAATCTTGTTTTTCAAGATCCAGCGCTGGACCTGTGCATAGATGGATGAGGAGGAGGATGGCATCGGGACTCGGAAGGCTCGTGGCGGCGGCGGAGGGGGGCTCGGACGTGCAGACTCGGGAAGCCATTGCGAGGACGAGAGGGCTTCACGGATATTGTTTGCGACATTCTCGAGGTGATTGTCAACGTAGTCGGCGAAACGACGTATCTCAATTGGTACTGTGGATAGCTATGGCCGTCTTGTCAGTCATGTTCAATATTAATCTGTGTGTGTGTGTTGTTGTATTTCTCAAACTTACAGTGTCCATGAATGCTTGATATTCTGCTGTTATGCCGGGAAATCAAGTAAGAAAACTTGTACTTGTGTTGGTAGTTGTGTGATGGTGTTGACGAAAACTGATATAGGAGCCGGAAGTTTCGAGGTGGGGTAGCGCAGCTCAGTGGAAGGGAGTCGGCCTTGTTGACTCCGACCACAATCGACCTTCATCAGCTTTAAACCCTTCCCCATCACCACTGCTTGGCTCAAGAATAATTGAATTTCCCCCCACAGCGCGCAAATACTATCATGAATCCTTTGACGGCACTCGAGTGAACAGCACAGATGGATGGATGCGAATGCTGAAGGTGAAGCAGTGCACAATGGCAAGCTCTTTGAATCTTTACGTCTGGGGTGAAGCGTTCGCAGCTTCCCTGTTATGGCTTCCATTATACTCTGTTGAGTTTGCTTCGTGGTTCACAAAACATTAGTTCTTCTTTCTTCTTGCTGTACTCTATCATCTTCGCAAGCCAAAATAAGCGCCCTGGTGATCCCCAAGCTGGAGATCCCCAAGCTCTCAGTTCTGATAACACCTCAGTTCGACCAGCATGATAATGCCACAGGACTTCAGATGATGCTTTTGATCCGCGGGTCCGACGTTGAAGAGGAGGAACTCCTTGTGGAAGTTTCCTCACTGTTTGGAGGCTTTTCATTCGAAGATAGACCTTCGGCATTTGACGAAGAAGGTATCCTACCGGTTGTCATGAGTAGCTCAAAAGCCGGAGTGTCATGGAACGCCGGACGCAAGACTTTGGGAGATCTGATGATACCTTACAGCGTTTCTGCATCGTCAAGCGATCAATTCAAATCAGATAGCCCGATCGTTAGGCTTCACCGTGATCAAGGAGGGCTTCTCGGTTCTGGATTCGCGTTCATGGCCTCCCCTCCTCCCGCCGATGCATATCAGATCTCTGTGGCATGGGATCTCAGCAGAGCACCAAAGAAGACTCGAGAAGTGTGGACATATAGAGAGGGGCCCTGGTCTATTTTTCAAAATGGCCCAGCGTCTATTCTACGAGACTCGGTCTATATGGTCGGACAGATCCACAGTAACTCGCCAGCACCAACAGATGGAGGTGTTTCTGGTTACTACGGATACTACTGGTATGGAAATCTTCCACGGAATATCTAAGCCATCAAGAACAGACACCATACCTTCTTCTTGAAGCTATGCGAATTCTTCGAGACAGCACCTTCACAGATTAACTGCTATCGGAGTTTCGTTCGCAACGGTGGGGATAAGAAATGCCTTGGTACGATGGTCTTTTCCCATAGTTGTATTCTTGAGTACGACTGCCAGATCGAGACGTTTGAGTACTGTGATCTAATCCGTCATACGAGATGACCCAGATATGGCTCGGTCCGTCATCAATGGACCTGAAGGTTGATTGGCTTTACGAAGGCATCAGAGACTGCCAATCTATCTATATGCCCTTTGGCCATAGCAGCCACAGTGGGTCCTACGATCAAGCAACAATCAACATGCTCTGCATCAAATACTACACCAATCCCTTGACGCAGAGAAATTCAGAACTCCCCAACATTATGACTCTTGCGACACGGATGCCTACGCAAGAGAACACCTCACCTCCCGAGCCTGGGCATTCATTGTCTGAGTTGAGCTGAGAGCAAGACAGCTATCAGACCTTGCCCGACCCATGGAGGACCTAGTCACAAAGCCCTTGGCGAAGAAAAAGGCTCATGGAGAACCGCATGGGATCAAAGATTTCTTGAAGCTTTTAAAACCTCTTCTGGAAGACGAAATTACGAAGCACTATGTGGACTTTCACAACGGAACATTGATACGGCTCTTCGAAGGTATGTATTTAGGGACCCAATGGGACACACCACTTGAAACGGCCTAACCGACATCTCTTGGGTTTTGGCATGGACAGGAATAGTTTCGCTACTGGAATTGTGAAGAGCCTAGGGGCGGGCAGCCGTGCAGAAATCGCGGGAATTATGGAGGGTGATAAGATCGTTTGGAGCTCGCATGAGTGGAGGTGTGTATCTGAGAACATGGTTCCGGTGATCGAGAGGAAAGGCATTCGGACGAAGGTCCAATATTGGCCTAGGGGTTGGGAGACGGTAGAGAGCTGGCGGATGAGTGAGTAAACAAATGAAGAGACGAATAAGGAAGACGATACTGGTGAAAAGAAGAAGAAGAAGAAGCTGCTCGTGATCCTGAAGGTGAAGACGAAGGCTAAGAGTGAAGAAGACGGGGGTTAGAGTCTATATACCTATGGTTTGAGAGACCTGTTAAGTAGCCATCGAACTCTGAATAGTCAATAACAATTTCTTTTTATGGCAAGCTTGCAGATGTAGAAACTCTTTGGTGATCCGAGTTCCATAATATGAGTGTTTAGTAAGCGCCCCCTATCTCGCTATAGGCAACAGTGAAATCCAAACTTAGTAAACATCTTCAGCCTCACGTCTTGAGTTAGTACCGGCTTGATCTGTACAGCGCGTGGGCATTCTGGATTATTCCAAGATACAAAGAACCCCAACGCTTTACAACTGTCCCCGTTCTTCTTTCCAAACGCTACATCCCGACACCCCTCAACAATCGAGACCCGCCACAGCCTCGTGGCAAGTAAATCAACATGGTGGAAATCGACGCCCTCATTTCGCAGTACTCCCATCTCAACAAATATGAGCGCGAGAAAGAAGCTCTCCTTACCTTGAGGAGGGTTGCCTCTCTGGTCAAGCCTCTAATGAGAGCGCGGAACTGGAGGGTTGGTACACTGATGGAGTTTTTTCCCGAACAGCAGAATCTCCTAGGCAAGAGATGAGTCCCTAATGATAAAGGCATACTTTAATTGTTCCAGGACTCAACATAAACGGGGGTCAGAAGATTTGCCTTCGTCTACGGTACGCGGCCAACAAAAATAATTTCCTGCCCATGGAGCAAGTCGTCGATACTATGCTCCACGAGTTGGCTCATAATGTGCACGGTCCGCACGATGAGAAGTTCCACGCCTTGTGGGACCAGCTTCGAAAGGAATACGAAGATCTCATTTCGAAGGGATACACGGGAGAGGGCTTTCTGTCTGATGGTCAACGCCTTGGTGGGATGAGAGTCTCGGAAGAAGAGGCAAGACGCATTGCTCGTAATGCAGCGGAAAAGAGACGCACACTGCACTCGGGATCTGGACAGAAGCTCGGCGGTCGACCAGTTCCAGCCGGTACGGATATTCGGAGTGTTATAGTTGATGCTATTGAGAGACGGAACATAGTGATGAAAGGTTGCGGAGAGAACAACAAGAGCGACCGAGAAATTATTGATTTGACAGAGGAAGCAACACAAAGCGGATTCAAGACTAAGGCCGACGAAGATGATGCGAATGATCGTGCTATTGCGCAGGCTCTATGGGAGCTAGTCCAAGAAGATGAGAAGAAGAGATACGGAAAAGACTACATCCAGCCTACGGCCTCGAACCCCACAGGGAATGGTGGCGGCGAGGTTGGGTCTCCGACCACCAACGCCATCAAGAGAGAGGCTCCATCCTCTGTAGACTCTGCAAAGTACAGAGCAAAAGCCCCTCCATTCAGACAAAATCCCGACCGGCCTGTCAGCCGATTGGTGGCCGAAGGTTCCGCAAAGAAGCCGAGGGCACTATCATCAAGGGCTGGCAAAGCTCCAGCTCTTGTCGAGCATCAAGCCTTTTCTCCTGTCCCTGTCCCAGCTGCGGTCCAGACCCCGGATCCATCTTCGCCCTTTCTATCCGCAACTGGATGGACTTGTCCATTCTGCACTCTTCACAACCCGATTAACTTCCTTTCTTGTGATGCATGTACTGCCGAGCGGCCGACAGAGATCACGACCCAGATAGCTAACACGGAGAGGAGGAAAGCAACGACGCAGAAGCCTGTTCTGCAGACACACACTTGGACGTGCTCGCAATGTACCACGGTTATGGAGCATAAGTGGTGGACGTGCTCGACATGCGGGAAGATGAAGAATACCTCCTGAGCAGGTGATCTAAGATCACGATTCACGACTTTTATGAATTACGAACTAACTCGATGGTATTGAATCAGGCCTCGCTTGACACAATATGATTATGCGTCCGTCCGTCAGCTCTTCTGCGGTTTCGCAATTCTGTGTTGCATTGCCTCGTGGACTCTCGACGGCCCGTCAAGGGGTCTCATCCGAATCATTTTCCCCACATTCGTGGCACATAACAACAGATCACACGGATCTCTTATGTCTTGAGGAGGATCTCTGCAAGTCACACACAGTATCTTTTCATGTTTCTTATTCGTTCTCCTCGTAGTGCGGGGCTTTATATGTTTCAAAGCTGTCTTTGCCTTAATCACAGCTGCAAATTTGCATGCCTCCGGGCGAACAATTGAATCGAATAGTAATTCGCTTTCACTACGATTGGTTGCGTTTTTCAAAATCATACATTGGTGGCTCTTGACTTCACTGCTCACGAGTCCGCCTTTTTCGTCGAAAATTATTCGAGATGACATACCCAAGGAAAGGCACTTCCCTCATCTTGCAGATTCGCGAGCATTCTGGTCTCGAGACGAGACATGAATGATCAGTTTGGCGCCCCGATTGCAAGTATAGATATTTCTTCATCTTCCATATTCCGTCTTTCATTTATATCATTAAGAAAAATTGTTTCCGCAACTTTCCTACAAAATCCCTTTACCTAGTATCATGGCAGGCCCCAAGATGAAGTTGAAAGCCAAGTTCAACCAGTGGCGTCTCGGGAGCCCAGATGCAAACTCTCAAGCTCCTCCAACCACTGCTTCGACCAAAACTCGGGCCCGCAAGCTGAGCAAGTCAATCCAGGCGCGCGTCGCCCGTCAAGCGTCCTCGATTGCAACTCTTGGATCGCGAGTCGGCCAAAAAGAGAAGGGTGGTACTGAAGCTGCAGTCGTCGCCACCGACCGTGATCTCTCCGTATCAGCAACTACAGCCGCCACCCTCAATCTTTCTCTCGTCAACCGCACTTCCTCCAACAACGTGAATGCCTATGTCACAGGACTCGCAATTGACAACAGCTACCGCTTCATTCTCATTCAGTCTGACGGTCGTACTCCTTACTACCCCTCCTCTCCTTCTTCCGTCGGTTCACCACTTGCTGTCAACTGCGCTATCCCTCTCGGTCCTCCTGGCTCCAGCAAGATTGTCACAATACCTCGTATTGCGGGTGGTCGAATTTGGTTCAGCATTGACTCAAGTTTGACGTTCCTGCTTAATCCTGGCCCTGGGCTTGTCGAGCCTTCTGTTAGCAACCCCTCGGACCCAAATTATAAGCTCAACTGGGGTTTCTGTGAATTCACCTTCAACAACTTCCAGCTCTTTGCCAACATCTCCTACGTAGACTTTGTCTCGATTCCCATCGCGTTGAATCTTATCAATACCGCCGGGGCCAAACAAAGCGTTATCGGCATTCCAAAAAATGGGCTCCAAAGAGTCGCCCAAGGCCTCATTGATCAAAACGCCAAAGATGGCAAAGGCTGGGATAAGCTTGTAGTACGAGCCAGTAATGGCAGTGTATTACGGGCGCTGAGCCCCAACACAGGCATCGTCATGGACTCTTCGCTCTTCCAAGGCTACTACGATGCCTATGTCAACGCAATCTGGGACAAATACTCCCGTGCACCCTTGACGGTGGACACACAAGCGCAATGGGGTACTGTCTCGGCCTACGTCTCCAACAACCTCCTTACTTTCGCCAACCTCGGCAGCTTCGCCAAACCTTCAGCCAAAGATATTTTCTCGTGCTCTACGGGCCCTTTCGCTGCGTACCCGGTCAACACTGATGCGATGGGAAATCTTACGGCAAGGCTTGCGGCAGGTTTGAATAGGAGCACGTTGTTGGAAGTCTCCAAGCATCCGGCGGAGAACTTGAGGGCGTATTATCAGGGCGCAGGGGGAGTTACAAACCATTACTCGAGGGTGGTGCACGCGGTTAATGGGGATGGGAGGGGTTATGCGTTTCCGTATGATGATGTCGGTGCGTCAGGCTCACAAGATCTCGCTGGTGCTGTGAGTGATGGAGCTCCAAAGACTTTGGAGGTCGTTGTTGGTGGGTATTAGGAAAGACAGGAGGTGAGGAGGCGTGTGGTTTTGTTGTTTTTTTTTTGTTTGCGGCCGCAGATAGCCTGGACCTACACTACATCATCTACCTTGCTTTTCTCGCTTTTCTCGCTTTTCTCAGGACAATGCAATCTTCTTTGGTGTATGGCATTTCCTCGATCTCACATGCGTCGGAAAACAGCAGCTTCGTTTCTGTTTTGAACTTCGTCTCATTGAAATTTGACCGATCTTGCGGAGAATCCAACAATGCACACCTGATCTACAAGAACCTCTCTTTATTTACCTGATCTCAGTGACCCGCACCACGCATCTGACCCAGTATCGTGAACATATATACGGGGTAAAATTGTTGAATTAGCAACACTTTCGCTTCGAACCTTTCTCATGGGCCTTTGATGAGCGGAGCATGTCGGATTACCTGGCTTACTCGACGCACCGCTACGATGGCTACATGATTTGGAATATGTACCTGTACGGGTTGCCTGGCGAGAGTTCGTTCGTTCATTAGTCGGCCGATGGCGTGGTTATGGCGATAACGAGTAAGGGTAGAGAGGTCATAAGCTCTGATTGATGTTGAGAATAGAGAATCGCATGTTGGAAGTTGGGAGGTGGTCGTTTCCTTAGATAGAGTAGGGGACTTGCCCGGCTGAGAAAAGGAGATGTTCTGCTTTGCCATGAGAGAAATTCATATACTTTCTACACAGCTATTCAAGCCTAGGTAGGTAGGATGTCTGGACCGTATCGTGTTCCCAGACTGTTAGAACTTGAACAAAGTCAATACGCTAAGAGCAAAGGGGGTTCAGCGAGTCAACCGCTCCTCAATAATTTTGTTTCTTTTCTCAAAGGATACAGAGGGCAGAAGCAAATCTTGACATAGAGAGTATTGAAGCTGGATCTGATTTCGCACTATTGTCACCGTGAAAAATAGGGGGAGGGGGGAAGCCCTTATCGATAGCTTCACAAAGCTGTGCGGAATTATGCGCAATTCTGAACACGAAGCATGACAGCATCAGGAATTCGAGATCGCAGCCCAGCCACAGGTACTCCAATCTGCCGCTGCTGATGTGACTCTGGAGGATATCAGAAGCAAATTACCCTGCACCCATAAAATCAATTGAGCAAGATGAATGGCGAGTCCAAAGCGCCATCTTCCTTGGATGCTGGTAAGCCTTTATTGATTATGCCTCTATTCTTTTATAACCCAAAGACTTAGGCACTAACTGATTATATTGCCAGTCGATTATGATCCAATTGAGCATCTGAACGCCATCTTCTCCCATGCTTCAACCCTCACCTCGATAGGTAGCACAGCTGCCGCCCTGCAAAAGCACCAAGATGACCTCTCGACATCGATATCCGCCCTCGAGGCCGCGCAAGCACTGAGCGACGACTCGAGCCTGCAGCGCATGCAGTCCGCGAAAGAGGAGCTAGCCCAGCTATTCAGCAAGATCGAATCGGTCCGTTCAAGGGCGATAGAGACGGAGCAGACAATCACGTCCATGACCGAGGATATCAAACGATTAGATAGCACGAAGCGGAACCTGACCCTGTCCATGACAGCTCTCAAGCGGCTGCAGATGCTGACGACGGCATACGAACAGTTACGGGGACTGGCAAAGACGAGGCAGTACAAGGAGTGTGCGAGCTTGCTTCAGGCGGTGCTGCAGCTCATGCGGCATTTCAATAGCTATAGGAGCATTGACCAGATTGCTACCTTGAGTCGGAACGTGGCAGATCTACAGAGAGAGCTCTTGGAGCAGATCTGCGAGGACTTTGAGATCTCGTTCGCCAAGGGAGAGGTGGCGGCTAAAAAGATTGTATTGGGGGAGGCGTGTTTGGTCACAGATGCCCTGGGAGACAATGCGAGGGCAAGACTGGTGACCTGGTATGTCAACACACAACTGAGGGAGTACCGGCAGGTCTTCAAGGGGAACGATGAAGCTGGTAGTTTGGACAATATTGGGAGGAGATACAGCTGGTTCAAGCGCATGCTGAAAACCTATGATGATGAACATGCTGGAATATTTCCGCTGCAGTGGAGAGTCAACGAAATTCTGGCAAATGCCTTCTGTGAAGGGACGAGAGACGACTTTAAGGGCATATTGGAAAGAAGTATGAGGCGGCAGGACGGTGGGAAGATTGATGTCAACCTTCTACTGAGCTGCCTACAAGAGACTATGGACTTTGAGCAAGGTCTAGAGAAGAGGTTCGCCAGCGAGCCCCGACATAGTATCGATACACTCGGCTCGATGGAAGAGAAGCCGCATACGTTTGATCGATCAATATCGGAGGCCTTTGAGCCATATCTCAGTCTCTGGGTTGCGTCACAAGACAAGCAGCTGGCAACAATGATACCGAAATACCGAAATCAACCTCTGATGCCTGAAGACGAAGAATTCTCATCTCAGGCCGTCATACCGTCTTCGATAGAACTGTTCCACTTCTACAAATTGACCTTGGCACAATGTGCAAAACTGTCCACAGGGGAAAGATTACTGGACCTCTCCAAGACCCTGGCAAAGTATTTGGACGAGTATGCACAGCAAGTGCTGCTCTACTTCTTGCAGGTCCCTGGTGGTGCCAGTCTTGAAAACACTATTCTGGTGCTCAACACAGCAGACTATTGGCATGCAAATACTCAGCAACTCGAAGACAACCTGAAGAAACGGATAGACGGCGAATTCGCTTCGAAGGTTGATCTCTCATCTCAATGTGATACCTTTATGGGTGTTGCGAGTGCGGCGGTGCTTGCAATGGTGCAAAAAGTGGAAGCCGTCTGTGAGCCGTCCTGGCGGGAGATGAGGAACACGAATTGGAGTAAGATGGATAGCGTTGGAGACCAAAGCTCCTTCGTGGCAGAAATATTGAGACACATCAATAGCAAAGCTGAAGAAATCCTCCCTTTAGTAACAAAAGCGCAGTATGCTAGAGCGTTCTGCGACAACCTCGTCGAGCACCTGGCAAATGCGTACATTGCAAATATTGTGCAGTGCCGGCCTATTTCCGAGGTTGGTGCCGAGCAGGTAAGAATCCGTACTGCACCTCAATGCTATAGATGGCTAATGACAATGCAGATGCTGCTTGACAAGTACGTGCTTACCAAGGGCCTCACTACACTCCTCTCACATTCTCCGTCCGCCGCATCCTCGTCCACCGCTGCCCAAGCCGGTTTCGTAAAACGAGTCAACCAGAGTATGGGTCGTCTCGATCCACTCCTGAAGACCCTCCAAGTACGGCCCTCTCCAGCCGAAGGCCTCGTTCAGGCATACCTCATCCACATTGGCGACCGCTCCGATACCAATTTCCGCAAGATATTAGAGCTGAAGGGTGTGAGGAAACCAGACCAACCTGCACTCGTCGAAATGTTTGGAATGCACAGAGACGGGAAGAGCAACGAGCAACTCGTAGCCATGAGCCCACTCCTGACGCCCCTCATGAATGCTGGCGGTATCGGTAGCGGCGGTCTAGGTCTCGGCGCCACTGCAGCCGCTTCTGGCATCCCCAATCTACAGACGAGATTTGATCCCACCGCATTCGGCGAGAAGCTGTTCAGTGCCGCGCGAGACGGGGTCGAGAGGATGGGGACGCCTGGTGCTGGGACCGTCGGCGATAGGATCGGAGGTCCGTTGAGCGAGGAAGCGAAGGCCACGGTCGAGGGCAACCTGAAGAGCATTGGCAAATTCTTCAGGAGGGATATGGGTGGCTTTGGAAGCATCGGCGGGAGGTTTGGGGGTAGCAGTAACGGGTGATTACGACGTAAATGACTATGGGCTGGGTGGTGGTGGTGGTGGTGGTGAGAAAACCAGGGTTGGAATTTAAGCCATGCGGGAAATATAGTATACAATACCAGAGCAAGATCTTCCACCGGCAAGAGTCTTCTCCAGTGACAATGCGATCTGGTGCATTCATGCACAGCAGAGAACTCTTTTCGCTCTCACAATCAGCCCAAATAAACTAAACTCAATCCTGGCACGAGTAGTGAGTGGTCGAGTGGTCGAGTGGTCGAGAGGAAAAGGAGGTTCCGGAACCCGCCGCTTAAGGGAAAGTAGTCTCGAGTTTGATAGCAGTCGCCAAACTCGTCGTGATAAATAGAAGGAGAAGAATTCAGCATAGCGCACTAAGTTACTGCCACGTTGAACTTCCAGTCTCAAGGATAAACGATCGAGCCCAGGGAAAACCGTCTTGTAATTCTCGTTCTGTCGCCTGGAACGGCTGCTGCCGCAAAGGCAGAGCTAGCTAGCTCTACGGTATATCCAGGTATCCTCTATTTTCAATTACGACCAACGAACACGCAAGAGAGCAAATGCAGAGATTCTATAGGAGAGGGTTGGATCGGTACTCGGGAACGACCACGTTGTTGCCCTTCTCGGCACCTTTCTCCGCCTCGAGTGTGTTCTCGTCCTCCAGCTCGGCAAGGAACTTCTCGGCTTCGAGAGCGGCTATGCATCCAGAACCTGCAATCGTGATTAGTAATTGCAAGACTTATGTTGGGTGTAAGGAACGCACCGGCGCTAGTAATTGCCTGTCGGTATCTCTTGTCCTGCACATCACCAGCGGCGAACACGCCCTCGATGTTGGTATAACTCGTGCCTGGCTTGGTGACAATATATCCCTCCTCATCAGTCTCAATCTGGCCCTTGACAAGCGCAGTTGCTGGATCATGCCCCACAGCGTAGAACAACCCATTTGCCTCAATAGTCTCCAGCTTGCCAGTCTTCGAGTCCTTGATAACCATATGGCTCATCAATCCGCGATCATCGCCCTTGACCTCCTCACCCTCGCAGTTGAACCTAACGGTCACCTTTTTATTTGCCAGCAGCCTGTTCGCCATCGTCTTGGAAGCCCTTAGATAATCTTTTCTAACCAAAACCGTAACATGGGACCCGTATTTCGTCAAAAACATAGCCTCTTCAGCCGCAGAGTCTCCGCCGCCAATGACCACCAATGGCTTGTTTCTGAAGATCGGCACGGCGCCGTCGCAGACTGCGCAGGCCGAGATTCCGTTCTGCCAGTATTTCTCTTCTCCCAGGAGGCCGAGTCTGCGAGCGGAAGCACCGGTAGCAATGATGATTGCATCTGCGGTGTTAGGCTCTTTGTCTTCGGCGTATTCGTTCCAGTACTTGAAGGGTCGCTTGGAGAGATCAACTTTGGCTACGGTTTCGGTTATGATTTGGGTGCCGAATTTCTCGGACTGCTTGCGCATGGCTTCCTGCAAGAAATGTCAAGATAGGTTCAGCGGAGTGTGGTTTGTGGAAGCAAACCATCAGCTCTGAACCACCAATTCCGTCTGGAAAGCCTGGGTAGTTCTCTACATCGGTGGTCGTTGTTAATTGACCACCGGCCGCAATTCCGTTCGCAAGGAAACCTTCATAGAGAACAGCTATGTATATATTAGAGCTGTGAGCAGCCTTTTGCAGTAGAGGAACCCACGCTTCAACTCCGCCCTAGCGAGGTAGACAGCCGCTGTATGCGCTGCAGGGCCGGAGCCAATGACTATCGCAGACCTGTTAGCATACATTCTTTTTTGTAGAAGTGCCCACTATCCAATTGTCCTATCCTACGCGAGAATTTCAAGGGGCCAGCCGGTACTCACTGACAACCTTGCTATGCATCTTTCTCTCCGCACTCCCAAGACGACCGGCACCAATATTCTGCTTGTATGGCCTCTGCTGTACACTTGCTGTTGCTGCCACAGAGAATCCCGCGGCGCCCGACCGTAGAGTCCGTCTGAGAGCTGAAGAAAACAGTTTGACTGTCTTTTGGGTATATGAGGGATTGGACTATAAAGAAAAGGTTGAGTATTCCGCGGAGATTCTGTAGGAGGTGAATATTTTATTTGTAGGGAAAAAAAATAAGACTAGGACGATGAAGGAGCGGTTTTGTTGATTTCTAATATCCATCGGATCTGCCCCGCGATGGATGATGCTCTAGACTCGAGTGCTTTGTCAGCAGCAGGAACGGAGCCAAACCAAACCACGTCCGAGGCATCTATCTCTGCGGCTCCGATCTTCGTCAAAATTCGTCTAATCCAAAAGCTACCCCCAGGAGCCATGATTCACCCTTTATGTTTACACCTCCAACTCGTAGCGAGAGTCGGGGCTAGCTAGATCTATTTCAGGGTCTCTTCAAAAGTAATCGATCCTATGCTTTGCCTTGTGATCACGAGTGTAGCTGTCGTTTGCTTCCTCATCCTGTGCCTTGTTCCGGCTGGATTATCCTCTATACATCATAGATGCTCGTTGCATCTGAGAAACGCCATGTTCGCCTCTGTCTCTAGCATCTATTTCCTTTGCGCACACCTTCACACCCCCCTTATTACACGTCGAAACCCATCTGCTCCGATGATGCGGTAGGAATCCTTCTAGTATCTCGACGTCTCGAACCATCTCCATGACTGTTCCTCCATAATCATTCAGTCTCGCTTTTGTCTTCGCTCCTTGAGCTTCCAAAATAAGAAAGCTCGTCTTCTGTACCTTTCGTTGAAGCTTGAAGCCGTCCTGGACAGAGAGAGAAGTCCCCATGCTCCTTTTTGCTAGTGGAAGGCCGCACTTGCTATTCTTACTGCAAGGTAATCCCTCGGCTGTGTGTCTTCTCTGACAACGAGCTTTGGTCAGGGCGACAGCCTTTGATGTGAGACATGACCTTGGATTCTCGTGGGGAAGCCTTTTCCATGTCGGCTGCGAGAGGCCAGCGGGAAGTAGTTGGAGATTGACCCATGCTTTCCTTCGCATGACGGCTTATTCATGCTTGGTCGCTGGGTCTTGCGTTTCTTTCCAGCACAGGTCTTTGCGTAAGAACGCTCGACTGTGTCTTCCAAGTTTCTCTCTGCTCACCTGTAACTAGTTGTCGGTGCGGATGAGTAGATGTGGATATACATCGGGTGAGCTTCAATTGGACGCCTGATGATTGCTTCAGAAAGAGCGAGGTTGTCAGTTTCTTCTGCAAGCCATGAGTGACGAATGGATGAGCGATGGAATTCCCTTCGACATGAGATCGAAGCAGCGGTAAGGAGGAGGTTTATCCTCACCTGACGTCTCGATGCGACTTGCAGTCCTGATAGATAAAGTTGAGATCTCCTGACAGCAACTCCGCAAACTTCACATGATCACCTCAATCCACCTCAATCCACCTCCTTGTTGAGATCGCCCACCACACTCTCCGGCCGCGGCACCCCTGTTCTATCAAGCGTCCCATCCGCATAGATCGTATTCTGTCACCATCCTCTCCTCCACGCCCGAAACCTGAGGAGCGCCCCCACGCCCGTCGGACATTCTTGGCGAACGATGGAGAGGGTAACGTCGAGGTAGGCGTATCGGTCGATGCCGGAGGCGTGAACAAAGTGGCGTCCGGGAGACAGAAGAGAGACTTTGGGGAGCGAGGGACCCGGGGAGGAAATCAGGTGGACGGTGGAAGGTGTAGCTCCGAGAGGGCCGAGTGAGGATTGTGAGGAGTTGACAGAGGTCAGGGGTCGGGATTCTGTTCGGGGTTATTCATGATGGCGGGTCAGTTGTCTTGATTTTATGATGTATCGATCGACGTGCGTAGTATATAGCGAGCTGGCAAGCGAACCGGAGCTATCCGACGTCAAAGTTTGTCAGTCTACTTCGTTGCCTAACAAGGGGTTGAAGCCATCTTACTTTTAGGCCTGATCACGATGTGAGTACTCGGGTATCACAGACAAACGGTCGTACGACGTCAAGAGAGAGGGAGAGTTCGCGTGACTTGGGATCGTCCAATCGGAAAATTTGGGCAAGAAAGTGGTGTGGGAGACTCGTGGATTCGATGCGGAGCTTCAGACACGAGGATGCCCCGGCCCATTCTTGGAATTGGTTCACGGGTACGACGGAAAAGAGGAGGTGAGCAAGTATCAGATTTCACTCCTAGAAACCTCAAATAAATGAATGAAAATCATATGGGTAGCACCAATCACGATCCATAAGATAGAATCTTGCGCGAACGACAAACAGATTTTTATTAGGTATTACGTGTGTGGAAGGTTGCCCTAGTGGCAGATGGTGATTTCCGTAAAGACGACAAGTCTGGGTATAGGGTATCAATACGCAGCAGAAATTGCGACGCAGAAGACAAAGGACACCGGTACTGCAAAAATGAGAGGAGTATCAAGAAAACAATCAATCTTGGGGTATTTCAAGGAGATCCGTTTTCCGACGATGATGAGAAACCGTTCATCGGTGGGAAATGACGAGACATTGCTGCTAGGAGCTCATGCAGAGGCAGTCACCGCTGGAGTAGAAGCAGGGGCAACCTTCTCAGGCTCTTGGACAGCAGGGGTAGCGGTCTCTGCAGCGCTCTCCTCGGTGGGAGCTGGCTTCTCACTGACCTTTTCGGCCTTGGGAGAGGTCTTGCCCTTTACGGTAGCACGGAGCTTGGCGAATGGAGACTTTGGCTTCTCACCCTCCTCATCACTGCCGGTCTTTTCCTTCTTGCTCAACCACTGTAACAATATTAGCACTGCTTGATAAAGGTATGGATTTGCAAGACGTTTTTTTGGCACACATGTCCATATTCCCACGAGGTGGAGAAGGGAGTGGCGGTTTCAACGTACTTGGAGAGTGCTCTTGCGCTTCTCGCTCTTAGCAGTTGGGGTATCGGTAGCCTTAGCCTCGCCGTTGGTAGCCTGAACTTCAGTAGACTCGGTTGGGGCCTGCAGGTGTACTGTTAGCATGTATGCGATAGGAAATTGGTTGAAAGGACCTACAGCGGTGGGAGTAGCGACCGAAGGAGCAAGTGGCTCGCTGGACTCAACAGCTGGGATGACGGGGGCAGTTTCAGAAACCGGCTCAGCCTCCTTAGCTGGGACGACAGGTGCGACTTCAGCGTCTGGCTTCTTCTCCTTGTGGGAGAAGCGGGATTGGAGGGTGCCGAAGATGCTGTTACGCTTAGATTGAGCCGGCTTCTCAGCTGGGGCGGTGCTATCAGAAAGTTAGTCTCGTTTTGGCTGATGAACAATGACCTGAGATATTTGTTCGAGGATGTTCGGCCGCACACAAAGTAGGCAACCGGTGACGGGATACTACGTACGCTACAGTCTCCTCAACAGCTGGGGTCGGCTCGGTGACATCGGGCTTGGGGGTGGCTGGTTCGGTAGGAGCGGCAACGGCTGGGGCAACTGCAGGCTCTTCGGCAGCTGACACGGGAGCAGGCTGTAAGACACAGTTAGTATGACTTGATCAACACAGAGATGGTTAAAGAGAGAAAGAGAGCCTTCTGCCATGAGAATGGCACGTCAATGAACAAGGGTGTACTTACCCCAGATTCCTCGGATGAAACGGGCACCTCAGACTTCTCCTCCTTCTTGCCAATGCCAAAGCCCCCAAAGATGGAAGTTCGCTTGCGGGAAGCAGAGCGGCTCTTGCGGTCCTTCTTCTCCTCTTTCTTCTCTTCCTTGGCCTCTTTCTTTTCCTCAGCCTTCTCCTCAGCCTTCTCCTCCTTGGGTGCCTCGACCTTTGCGGGGGTGGCAGTGGCAACAACAGCCGGCTTGGTCAATTCTGTGTGGGTCTTCTTATATTCCTCGCTCTCGACAACGGTTGGGGCAAGCTCCTTGGCCTCGGCGGACTTGGATTTCAACACAGCCACCCAGTTGTCGCGCTCTGTGATAGAGCTGGCCTGGAAGATGTGCTTGTGTCCACCAAGGGTAAATGCGAAATCGACGGTACCCTCTTCAGCGATATCCGAAATCTCAGACTAGGAGCGCAGAGTGTCAGCTGAAGCTATTAATCGGCGGGAAATGGTGCTTACCAGATTGAATATTCCCGCGGGGGTGGCCTTCTCGCTGGCCTTCTTGGTGAAGAACAGGAGTCCATTGCCTGTGTGTGCAGCCCAGGCGACATTCTTACCGGCAACATCTTGAGCCTTCTCGCCACGGAGGTAGCTTGAGAGAGTCTTCGAATCGACGGGCTCAGATCCGAAGTAGAAGAATTTCTTCTGGAAGATGAAACTCCTAAAAGGAAACATTTGTCAGTTCTTATCATTCCATTATCGCAATGTGACAGGTGATTTCCCAATTCTCTTTATCATATAAAGCTTTGAGCTAGTCGAGTGACGCTCGCAGTCCCGGGAAACGTTCTGCAGTCGAGCAGGTTTCGACCGAGCGTTCGGCCTCTGGTCTTCCCCCCGTTATGAACAAGTGTTTGCACAACTTACTTCAACAGGCCAGGTCCTTTGTATCCAAGAATACCCTCCTCAACAGGCTTAACTTCCTCCTTGACTGGAGTAGAGTCGGCGACCTCTTCCTTCTTTGCCTCCTCGACGGCTGGTGTAGGTTCGGCGACGGCAGAAGCCTCAACCTGGTTATCAGCTGCCACAGCTGGGGTCTCTTCGACGGTCTTGGGAGCCTCTGCGGCGACAGGGGCCTCGACAGGCTTGGGAGCTTCGGCAGACATGGTGATTCAAAGGGGAGGTTGGGTGGGTGGTGAGTGAAGGGAGAGGTGGGTATCTTGGGGGTATCTTTGGGGTATTACAAAAAGTATTGAAGAGAAAGGAATCAGACGGGGGCAATCCGCTGCAAAGACGTTGATAGCTCTGTTGTCGTTGACGGAGAGAGTTGTGTGTGTCGAAGAAAGGATTGGAAGTGGAGGACAGCTCGACTTTTTAATATTGGAAGGGGTCCACAAGGGGGGGTGGGGTTTGCTAAGGGGCTAGGGGGCGCTAATTTAGCGTGGCTTAGCGAAATTAGTAGGCACGGTCAAGGGAAAGAGTGCCGGCGAAGTCTCCTATCCAGGCTGTCCTGTGCTGTCTTTGATTTTTGAGGGCGTACGGAGGTGCCAGTAGTGAGTAGTTACTAGTAGGTAGTAGTTGTAGAGGAAAATCTAAACTTTGGGCTTTAAAAATAATCCTACTGGAAGGTTAATCTCGGTCTAGTTGTAGGAGGAGTTTCACGTTGTAGATAGATAAGTAGTAGTACCTACGTAGTAAGTAGTACCGTAGTGGTTGTACAGAGTATGTGGACTTGGACCCACTAGCCAGGCCACCGCCCAACCAGAGATCCTCATCCTTATCCTTCATCATTCTTCTCTTACCTTCGGAGGATTGCACCCAGACCGACGATTGGCAAATGTCGAGATCACTCACCCACACCCACACCCACGCCCACGCCATCCGGAGTTTGAAGATCGCCATCGTGATCAGGTGAGCACCGTGACCTCGTTTGGCCATGTAGTGAGTCTGCAAGGATCGACCTAGACGCCCACGGGACGATGGATATGGCAGGAGAGTGGCGATTGCCGCCGTTGCAGAAAGTACTACTGTACTAACTAGTATCTAACCGCAATCCGCGATGCTACAAAGGTACGTACGGTATGCTTGCTTGCTTGCTTGCTTGCTTGCTTGCTTGCTTGCTTGCTTGCTTGCTTTGTCCCCTTTCTTCCTATACGACCCGTCATTTAAGTGAGCGGAAAGGGAGCTGACGATCTAACAACCATTAGCCAACAACCCCAATAACCCCAACAACCGAAACCACACCTTCGCAAGAGCTACCTATCGTTGACGGAGTGCCCAGGCCTCGGCACGAACCCGACTCTCTGACTCTCTGACTCTCTCTCTGACTCTCTCTCTCAACCTTCAAATAATTCGATGCAAGCTTTGGCCTTTGATGAGTCGGTGGGCCGAATACAAGACTTGTTAGCCAGGCCTGGCCTGGCGAGGTCGGAAAGTATACGTTTATATATATAGCACTTATATAGTTACAACGTATAGTAGTTACGTAGTACGTAGTACGTAGGGAGACTATATATAAAATATAGATACTTTGAGTTCCTTCTTTGGTTTCATGATTCCAACAAAGTAGCTAGCTTAGCTGGCTTACGCGATACCTATCATCTCTTGTCAGGCTACGTTGCAGGAGTAGTACTCCGTACGGCTACACAGAACACTTTATTCATCCACCATGTTTGGTTCTGTCTCGGCAAGACCATCGCCAAGCTAGTCGTGTGTTCCAGCCCCCAGACTTCATTAGTACAGTTTACCCATCAATGTGTTCATCTTATCAAGTTGAGGAATGGGGATGCCCTCAGACGCTCCCGACCCTGGAACAATCATCTCAATCTCTTTGTGGTGTCGGCTCGGTGTCTGTCTCGGACTCGAGTCTCGGACGCGTCCTGCAATTAGTTCGAACTTCTCATTTCCTTGCAACGCTATCCTGCCCGTCTTCCTTGCAAGTGCCGGCAAGCAAGCCTTAGCTCTACTGTACGGTACAAGTATGTATACTACTAGTAGCCTATTTGGATGAACGACCCTTTACAAGTATGATTTTCCTTTATTATTAATAACTCAGACAGTCAGAATGGACGCCACACATTATTGACTTTCGGGAAATGTCTACGATTGACAACTCCACAAATGGTTTCAGATGCATCCGTTTTCGTAGCCTCGGCCGTCCCTTCTGCACGGCTCGCCGTGTATTTCTTCCTAGACCCTCCCGTCCCGTCGCACGCATGAAGATTTTACAAATACCAAGTACCTGTGAGGAAGTACGGAGTCTCCGTACGGAATACATGCCAGATTCCAGATGATCGACAGGCCAAACAACTCAGATAAGGCCGCCGGCTCTTATTCGCGATTCCTGATATCGGATTCTGCAGCAGATCTGACAAGATACGAAAATGGCATCACGTGTCGTCTCGACTGCTGATATTATAGGTACTCTTCGTTTCGGATAATGCGGAGAGCAAATTGTGCAGCTACTACTAAGTAAAGTACGGTACTCTATTCGAGAACCTTAAGAACACCCCTATGCAACATGACGGAACACGTCTTGGTTATTCTACAGTACAACTACTCGACGGAGGGAGTACCTTTATCATGCGGTCCAATGTCCTGTTTCTTCGGTATGGCTTGACTCGGCGTTGTCGCTGATTCCTGCTTACCGGTCTTGCGGAAGGGAAGATACCTAGTTATCGTCCTGGATACATACATCACATACTCTTAACGACGGACTACAAGATACAGCGCTTTGCAGTGGAACGAGCGGATCTACTATTTTCCGGTTGATTCAGGGGCTGAACCTAGGATCGATGACTTGGATCTGTCAACTTTCAAGTCGGTAAAAGCACGCCTCTTAAGGAATTGTCATCTAATGCTACTCAATGCTTTTTTGATTGACGCAATCGAAGCGATCGGCAGTATGGCTGGGTGGTCGAGTGCCCGATGAGCTAACCGTTGTGTTATTCAACTCGTAGCCATCGCCTGCCTCTATCTGGCAGTCTTTTGAGTCTGGGCTGAGGGAGAAGATGCAGAAGAGGACGTGGAGAGGTTTCTTTGGTACAGCCACATCATGTGATCTGATATTCTTGGGTGTATCATCACCATCTGGACCCAAGAGCCATACTCTATCTAGTTACTTCATATGTTCTCTGAGTGCGGTTTGGGGGGATCCAATTATGCATTATGGTTTTTGGAATTCTTTATGTTTACAAAAGAAAAGGGGGGCACACGTGACCCATATCGATTTTCTACCCTCGGACTGGCATTTGCAACCAATGTTCGAATGGAAGGAGTTCGAGTGCCCGATTCCCGAAACTTACTCTGGATTTTCGGCCATCTCGGGAAAACATGCATATATCTCTTCTTCACACTCTTCTTCACAATATTCACACCACAGCAGTCAGTTGGCACACACAACCTCCTATTCCGCCGCGACTTGGTGATGGCTAAGGCCCCATTTTAGCGCCACCAGCTTAAACACCAGCACACTAGATCTTCGCTGTGAATTTAATTTGAATTCTTGCTTGACTGAGATTCCAACGATAAGTCATTAATTGACATCGAGACCGTCCTTTGCGTCTACCGTCCAAAGCCTCTACTACTTACTAGCTTGCATACCTGCTCTCTCTACTATCTCTCATCCTCCTTAGGAAACACTCTTTTTGGGGGGGGGAGCGGGCTCTCACATCTGTCTCTTCCCTCGCAAGGTAATATCCTTCAAACTGGACATATCCCAGTTGCGAGACGTAGCTCAGGTAAGCTCACTTCCAGTCTGCTCTCAATATCGAATCTTCCGTCTGCACGCTATCTCTGCTCTACATAGCATAGCAAATGTCTCCGGTCTATTTTTTATTCACAGCTAACCCGACTTTCACAGACGCCCTCTGGACTAACAACGGTCCTTCTGCTGGTCTTGCGAAGAAGTCATTTTATAAACGTCTAGTTGTCTCGGGACTTGTCTGACAACCTGCAACTCTGTACTATCACCTATATCGATCTTCTCGATTATCTTTCCAATCTCAAAAGCATCATTGCGTTCGAGTTATGTTACCTTAGGTATGGATGTCTGGATCTCTTCACGTTCTTGTCTCAAACACGCTGTGCTCTTTTATCTCATCCGCATCCTGCACTCCTCAGACCTCGTATCATCTACTTGCAAATCATCCCTATCTTGTTATCTTCAACTCATCACCTGCATCCCTTTTGCCCTTGTCCCTCTACCCGCCAATTCGCCCGCGGCTTTTTTCGTATCTGAGTGTGTTCAGGATCTAATTGGGGGGTTTGCATCATTGTTCCTCGCCTCATAATAGCGAAATAGACAATCACAATTCTAGCTCGTTAGATGATTAGTTCAAAGTCCACACCAGCACTAGGCGTCACTAGCCTTTTCAATACCGCCCTGCAAAGGGCCACTGCACTTAAAAGCCTCGTTACATTTGACGTTCAAGAGTACAGTTGTGTTCTTGGTGCGGTCTTCCCCCCAGAGCCTGCATACACACCTCCGCCTTCAGCCTCAGTACGAATTTTTCATTCGATTTTGGGGTGAATTAGTCAATAGTCTCGAGGTTTTGTCCCACTTCGGCCTAGTTCCCCCCCGTCGGCCGTACCGCCTTCCAGCTAGGAAGCTACTTCCCTCCATATTAGCCTTAGCAGGTGTGAATAGTTTGTTGGGTGAAAATAGTCTCGAGGTTGCGCACCACTTTAACCTAGTTTTCCCTTAGCTAGCCGGCGACATACATCATGGCCCCCCCCTAATCTCGTGATCGCAAGTCTAGGTTCCGGCTTCAACACTTCAACACCCAACTATTCAATGTTCCGCGTCATTTCCCTCTTCCTTGCAGCTTCATACACTCTCACTTCACTTCGGGGTGAACTTACCACTGACGCATTACCCACTAGACTCAAGGCAACAAGGCAGCCATAAAAACCACTCCGGCATTCCTTGACTTTGGAAAGCTTCCCACATCTCTCCTCGAACATCTCAGAAGACGTAAATCAACATGTCTCAACTCCAGGAATCCCTCGTAAGCAGCAACTCTCAGCTGCAAGATAGCTCCTTGTTATCTTCCGAAGTCAAGCCCACTTCCAAGTCCAGCTGGAAAAGATACCGCAACAGAAGGGGTGCGAAAGCAGCAGCTCAGGCAAGAGCACCATCGTCTCAGAGTGTAATTGTGCCTGAATGGCATGGAGTTGAGCTGGAGCCCAAGGCTAAGGTGGAGCTGGCCGAGGAGCAGTCCGAGTCTTGTCTGGCGGAATGGCCATGGGTCGGGTGTCCTGAGCATTTGGTGACTCTCGTATGTCTTGCTCCAAGTTTCGCTGGATGGCTCCGTCTTTTAACAACAGAACTAGGCACCCTATCTGAATAATTACTACCACAAGTGGAGACCTCATGCCCCGTTCCAGCTACCTCGGGCTCCCCAGACATCCCTTCTCTTCACAAAGCTCTTGAGCATCGAAGTTGTGCGTCGCACGCTCTTTGGGGTTATCTTTCGACACCATAGTACCGCTTGGAAGTTTGGCGCTTCATGCCGGCAGGCAAACTATATGCTCGGAAACTTCGTTGTAGGTGACCCTTCCTCCGAGTCAACCTCCACCAAACTATTTCGAGACCGCTGACGTGAGTTCGCAGCACCACTGGGACATGGTTGGTACTGGATGCTATGGTTACTTCGGAAATTGCGAGGCTCCCAGATTTGGTCCAAAGGCACCAGTTGATCCAGAGCTTCAGGGCTCTGTAGGCCCTGTTATTATCGTCAGCCCGATCAGACGTCCCCAAGGTCCAGCCTCCTTTTGCCAGCAAGTTGAAAATCTGCGCACAATGTGTAAGTCTCCTGGTCCGTTCCACGACAAGCCACCACTGACAAATGATAACGTCAGGCGTCGCCATGAACAATTGGTCCCATCATTTCAAGAACATCCAACTCCACCGCGTTGCATTTCTCTCAACCCATCACTTGACCCTCGTGATCCCGCGCCTGGTGAATCTCGAAGTGCTAGGAATCTATCAATGTCCGATGCTCAGCATAGCTGAAGCCCTGAGGCTACTCGAGATCATTCAGATCGACCGACCGCCTGGAAGAGAGAACCAGGTCTCTCTTGACTTCTACCCAATGTACCACCAGGGCCCAGTTCTCCCAGCCGATAACGTTTTGCACCAGGGAGAATTCGGCGTCACTTGGGACAACTGGGACCATGACACCATCAAGGCCGTCTGGGCATTGTGTACTCGTATCCTCCCCCAAGCCCGCAAGCAGAATGTTGACTTCGAGAGCTCGCACACTGCTTTTCGACAATACATGGACCGAGGTCCATGCTGGAAAGTCGAACAAATCTACGGTGCCCTCTTTGACACCAGCATGAGCACTGAGCAATTTGCTGCCTTGATCGATTGTCATAACATGGACCACGGGGGAGATGTGACGCGTTTCACCGACAACGTGCTTGTTGGAGACCGACCCGAGGGCTACGAGCCGTAAGTTTCTGCCCCGACAGCCATGGAAGATATCCTTCTGCTAAGACCAGACCCTAGATACGTGCGAGACTACCACTGTGACGAGTGCAAGCGCGACGTGCTCGGAATCTTCTTCCGCAGCAGTGATCTCACTCCCCATCGCACTCTCCCAGACGAACCCGCCCGCCCCGAATTGATCTGCCTGGGCTGCAAGCTCACAGGCTGGCTGCGTCACGAACGCGACCACTACAAGGTCGAAAAGCGCGCCATCGTCCAGCTGTGGCTGCGCACCGTCACGACCCACCTGGGAACCGAGCCCGCGACCAACGCGGCCATCACCCGCCTCGACTGGAACGAGTCCGACCTCGACAAGGCGATGCGCGACTTCGATACCTTGCGCGTCGACACCAGGGCGCGCGTCCTCGACGAGAAGTACTCCCACGACATGAACCGGACGAACCCGAGCCGGAACCGGGACCACGAGTTCAACGAGACGCAGCGCCCCATCGAGTTCGAGGATATCCTGGATTATCCGTGCTGGCGTCGCTCGCCGCTCGTCTCCATGAAGGACATGACGCCGAGTCGGCTGGCTGAGTTTCATGCTAAGCGCGACCGGGCATACGGGAAGTGATCGTGGCAGTGGCAGCGGCAGCGGCAGCGGGAAGAGCAGGAGGCCCGGGAAGTAGGACCGGTAGTACTGTAAAAGGGTGGAATGGAGTGCAGGGTTCTTCTGCGTACGGTACGCACGCACCCTTTTGGAGTCATATACCCATATACGTAGTAGCTTGTACATGGCACAAGAAGCAAGAATGCATATTTTTTTCTCTCTCTCTTTTTTTTTTTTCTTCTTTGAACCTTTCTCTTTCCGGGAGTATGGAGGGAGAGGGGACATGACATGACATGGCATGGCATGGCATAGCATCTTGGTGCGTAAATTGGCAAGTCAATAAGTAAGTCAGTAAGTCAGTAAGTCAGTAAGTAAGTAAGTCAATAAGTAAGTTAGCAAGTAAGTAAGTAAGTCAGTAAGTAAGTAAGTAAGTCAATAAGTAAACGATGAGCGAGATCGGTAACAAACACCTCACGCACCTCACGCACCTCACGCACCTACCTACCTACCTAGTACGGTACGTAGAGAGCCCACAGGTTACCTACCTAGGTACCTGACCGGCAGCAGGGCGCCCTCTTACTGCTTACTACTGCTTACTAGTACTGGTTGGTACCGGTACCATTGACGCACGGGGTAGGTACCTACAAGTATGAATCCATGATCAGCGAAGTCGATTGGATCGGATCGGATCGGGTCGGATCGGATTGGATCGGATCGTGGTGCTTGCATGTATGATTTCTGAGGGATGGGAGGGAAGCTTCGTTGTTTTTTTTTTTTTTTTTTTTAATCTTGGGTAGTTTGGGGTATTTGGGGTAGTTTGGGGATTTGGGTAGTTTGG